CACTTCCTCATCTCCACCGGCATCGCAGTCTCAAACTCGGTCATCCTTGCATTGGTGTTCCGCTTTAAGACGCAAGAGGGTGAGCTGCCATGGACCGAGATTTGGATCAGAAACTGACTCGGAATCGTGTCTCCAGTTCTCCTCGCGGAAGCGGGCCAGGAGCCTGGGGAGTCTGATGCTGCAGGATCGCGGGGTGCAAACTTGTACCGCTCGATCCTTAACATCAAAGCCGTGCATTTCCTTGCCATCTTCGCTCTCATCTATATCGGCACTGAAGTTACTCTCGGCGGTTGGTGGATTCCCGCATGCGATGCTCTGGTGGTGCTCACATGGTTTTATCAGGCTGGATTGTCACGTTTATCATCAACGAAAGAGAAGGTGGGAAGAGTGCGGGATACGTCTCATCTGGTTTCTTTGGTGGTGAGTAGCGTTCGTACTGTTCTGGTTGGTGTTTTACTAAATATGTTCCTCTTTTAGGACTGACTCTGGGCCGATTGTGCCTTATATGGTTCAGCAAAAAGGTTCGTATCTGAAATCCCCAGTCACCGAGGCATGCTTAAGCTTGACCAGGTTGGAGAGCATCGCGTCGTCTTTGTGTACACTCTACTCGCCATAGCGTAAGCCAGGCCACGACTCATCCCGGTTTTTCGTAGATTTATTAATCTTTTATTCAGGCTGGAACTGACCGTGTGGTTTGTTCCTTCCATCATCGAAAACGGAGTTGCAGTAAGCATGTTGTACCTGCATCCCTAACACTGCTCACCCAAACGTGTCTCCAGATCTCCTTCGTCGGTTTACTACTGGGGCCCATGTTTCCGATACTTGTCTGCCACGCGACACGGATCCTACCTGCGTGGTTACTGACTGAAAGTGTCGGGTGGATCACCGGGATTGGTATGTCGGGATCGGCGGCCCTGCCTTTCATAACGGGTTTATTGGCATCTCGCTATGGAATTCGGTCATTACAGCCGTTGTAAGCTCCACATAGTCTTGGGTATCAGAAGCCTTCGAACTGAAATTCTGTTTAGAGTCGTTTCGATGATGTGCACGCTGGTAGGCGTCTGGGCATTTGTACCGAGGACGCGACGCGTAGATTGAGCGCTATAGCAGCAGGGATGTAGGTCCTTATCGTAGAGCATAGATGAGTTGATAGATCTTTTTAGACTTTATATATCATATCTAGAATGCAGCAATAAAGCTACAAGGATTTATTCTCCATTGAAGTACATTCTCCGATACGCTACAAGAGCATGGATTTCTAGCGCAAAGAACTGACACCATAATTATTTGATCTCATAACATATAGCAGTCTCGCTACTTTAAGAAGTCGACTGCAAGTAGCCCGAGGGAGCGTAGTTTGGGCAACGACGTCAGTATGTTATCTTGAAAATCCTTGGGCTCAATCCAATCCCAGCTGTCACTCTCCGCTAGCAGATGGAAATGAACGAACTCGAAGAAATGGTATCGAGAATGAATAAGAATTCCATCCAATAACGCCAATATGTCAAAATAGACCTTTTCCAACGATTCTGGTCTGGCGGCAGGAACCATGTGAATATGGAGCTGCTTCAAAGCTGCAGGTTGGTCGCTTCGGTCAAGGCAATAAGAGAGACAACGGATACTGATAATGAAAGATGTTTTCGAGAAGTCGAACAAGTGGTAGTTGACTTTCTGAATCCGAGAGATATCCAGGATGGCGGCCTCCATCCGGCTAGCGCCTACCCAACTGTCAGCTTGTGAGATAATCGCGCGATGATTATATACTCACCGTAAAAGACGTGCTTCATATCTACTTCCCGAAGCGTCCCGCGAGTGGCGCAGAGGACTGTGCATGTCACACGTTGAATGAATAATGTGCAAGCCGTGTAGTGCGAAGCGGCTGGTCTCCCTAGTAACGTCATGTACATTTTTTCGTAGGCGTACGCGAGCAATAGGTTCTCTAGAGCGGGAGCTCGAGCTACCGCGTAGGCACCGAATGCCGCAGGGTGCACTTTGACGGCAATCAAGGACAAGGACAAGGAATGGGGTATCAGCGTAACCACTACAAAACACGATTTCTTCCAGTGTAAGAGAAGTAATGGCTAGAAAGTCAATCCGTCATAGATCGTCAAGATGGCCCCAAATGTGCAGCGAGGTGACGTTGAGAAGAGGAAGCAGCTAAGGCTCCTTGCCACGGGAAACGATCTTGAGAGAGTGTATTGAAGGATAACCAACATTACGTACCCAGCGTTGATGGTCCCGACAATCCACTCATTGTGTTCTCTATTCGGAGCACCATCGCCTGTGGGGATGCCAAACTCGGTCGGAAATGACAGGTTGGCGCCATTGGAATCGGTCTGGTCCCATCCTTGCACAGCAGCAGCGAGAGAGCAGATGATAACGGTCATGTACAGGTCCTTCGGTTGAGACCATTTGTCTGTTAATATTGTCAGTAAACGAATACTCGACCAAAATCGGAGACGCGACATACGTGTTTTTTCCCTCCTGATCGCCTCTCGATCGGTCTCATCCAACAATAGCAGCGTCTCGAATTCACCAGGGTGCTGAGCGAGCAACGCGCCCTTTTTGAATGTCTCCGTGTACTCATCGAAGCCTTTCTCTTTAGTGAGCTCCTCTACCTGCGCGAGCAGCTTATCTTGAGGAATACCGTGGAGGGGATTTTGAATCCTAAAAGACCCCGCGGGGAGGTTGTAAGCGATAAAAATGCGGGGAAATGTGAAAATGGCGATTTACCGCACGTTGATATTGTTAACGAGATTGATGTGATCGCGCCGATCTTCAGAACCTTTTTCTGGGTCAGACATCGTTCTCAACCGGTCCTGGATAGTCCACCGAGGCAGGGAAAGCGAGAATGGCTTGGACGCTGATGATACTCGGCATTCCTGGCTTTATAGCGATTTCGTTATCCTGTCAGCCAGGGCGATCAAATAGAATGTGGGGATGTAGAAAGTTGTGGAGCATCTTCGAATTTCTATATCTAGAACTTCAAACATTTTCGGCCATGTTCCGAGCGGCTGTAGCACCGTATTATGTGCACGCGACGTCAGTGACCATATGCTCCGTCGAGTCTGGTTTCTGCGATATTTCATTGTGGATGAAACTCTGAAAATGTTTCTCCAGACTTTAGTATGGATTACTTATGATGCGAGATGAGAACACTCACAATGCTACAAGGATAATCTATTACAACACATACAGCAGAGGTGGTGACTCAAGTCCTCCCGCAGCTTCCCGGTATCTGCGAGCCTGAACATGCCATCTCCATCCATCTAGTCATCTGAAGATGCAAAAGTGGCGTAAGAGATGCTCAGGAACGAAAAATTCTCGACCGGTCCGTGATGGAATAAATCTTAACAGTGGCATCACACTTGCTCAGCATCTCGATTCATGGACGGTTGGTGAAACTGAAGACCCAAGAGCCGGCCGGACTGCCACTGGTTGTTATGAAAAGAACGGAAGCGCCAGTGACAGGGCTAACTGCTGGTAGAATGAAAAGTCCGAAAGGATTAGCAATTGAATCATATCATACAGCCCGGCCAACCGCAATACAAAAGGGTCGGCTTGGCAGTGATGGATAGTTTCAATCATTTCAATGCCTTACGGAGCTACGTGCTAAGGTTAGATATGACCCTCAGATAGAGAGGCCAACATAAACACTCACATCCAGTGCCATGGCGCCGTTTATAGATTGAGGTAGAACCGCCTTGCGCAGTACTTCCACTCCAGAAAGCTTCTCATGCATCATTGAACAGTTACAATCCCTGCGACCCGAAGACGGACAAGCCTGACGGGCCCAACGAAGTAAATGGAACAGATATAGCATCTCGCCTGCCCAAAGGTTCGGAGTCGCTTTGCGCCCAAAGTATCTGTGGTCATTGGTTCAGGGACTCAAAGGCATAAAGAAAGTACGCGAGCTGAACTTCGCCGGCTGCCAATGCCAAAGATTACACGGATTTCGAACCAAGGACCTGGGTCGTGTTGTTGCCGTCCCCGGCGGAGCAATGAAATGAAAATGGAGTGTCCGATGCTAGCAGAAAGCCAAACAAGAAGATTGTTTTATCCCGTGACGATCTTGAACGTGGTATCGATCAAAGGCCGACGCAGCCCAAATCCATTCACACTTATCTGCTGGTCAAGTCGTACGGCAATCTGAGAGCCGGTATGGAAATGGGCCAAACCGTCGACGGTAAACAGAGCGTGGCGAATGTTTTGGTCGAAGCCCAGGATGGAAAATGATCGTGCAGTATACTTGTTCGCTTAGAGCATCCATTTACCATTGCACTAACGGCGGAGTGTTGTTCCAGAAATACTATGAATGACTGCAATGTCGTTGGTTCCTAAGAATGTAGCGTGAAATTAGTATATCGCAGGTTTCATGAAGAGAAAGGCCTTACGCTGCAGCAAACATCGTGGTCAACGAAGTCAATAGGGCCTCATACACAAGAGGGTCCATATTCTGAGTAGTGCAGATATGAATGCTCGGGTTATCGAATGCCGGAAACCGGGGCGAGGGCTAGATTCGTGAGCCGCGTTCCGACGTCTAAGCTTCGAGTGTCAGCCACAGTACTTGTGAGCAGGCAGGCAGCAAATGATAGTCTGGAGAACATTCTTGTTTTTTCCAATGCTGTTGCGTACAATTGAATTTGAAGAAAAGTCAACAGCATCACCGCCGGAAGCAAAAGCTACGATCACGTGTACGTGCTTCACAGACGAGTTTGAAATTCAAATTCCCTCTTTAAAACCTACTTCCTTCCTTGATGTTCCTTCCCACCTCCCTGGCCAGGAAAGACGCCTTTAAATCCTGTATCAAATTGGGCCCCATTGTAACAAGACCTCATTGCCCCAAAACATAAGGCATGACGCTGCAGGATCATGGTTGGGTCTCCGATTTTTCGAGTGACTTCGCAAGCCAGCATCCTTGCAGGATGGCAAGATGGTGAGGGCATACACATCTCATTACACACCACGACTCAAATCTCCTCAAAGAATGATTTTGTCTGTCTTGCCGTGTGTTTTTCAGAAACATGGCAACCACAGGAAAGTTTCTTTTGCCTTCCAAAGCGGCGTGCCGCGTTGCTACTGGAGATGTACGATTGTCAATTGCGTTAAGGACAACAAAATTGCGCATATATGCAGGTCTCATCTTTGCTTCGAGTCAAATATCTCCCAGCGGCGCCTTCTCTCAACGTTTGTATCTCGTGGACAGCCCAACGCCGCTTTGAACAAGACTTGGGTGGAAGCGATGCTGGGCAATTAGGGGAGGTGGAAAGACCTGTAGATGAAGAGCTATCGTCAAAGTGAGTGTAGTGAGTGTACTTTACTTCCTGCTATTGCTTATTGAAGACTGTTAGTGCAGTAGCGTCACATACGGGCGTGCCCGTCAGACGATAGCGTAAGGTGGAAGCATTCCCACCGTCGTTGTCAGCCTTATGAAATCAGTGGTCCCTTCAATGATGGTGAGCTCCGTCAATATGGTTTTCTTAATCGGCAACGTACTGACATATTCACAGGCGGAATGGTCATCGGCCGAAGACTCACAGTGATTAATGAAGAACTATAATGTGCCAGTCCGCAAGCCAATGCGAAGAACATCAGTATTATATGCCGACGTCCTGATATCCAAAGCGATGGTGGATCGAGACAATTCGTCATCATCTCAGAAGTGCTATCGCCGCTGGACTACATCCTCGGTTCCATACTAGGGCCGGAGGAGGTCGCACCACCTGCAACCTTCCTCGAGTTTCACGCTCTTGAATACCAGCGCCTAACTGAGAAGCGAGGTAGCCGCCTACACCCACGTGACGCAGCATCGCGTGCTATACTCAGCCTTAGTATACTATACTTCCTCACAATGTCACTGTCAGCGCTGACAAGGGCTCGAGACACCGACGACAAAATCACCTTCACCTATTATGTACCATTGGCTCAAAACGACTGCATTGTTGTAGTCTTCTCCTTAACTTGCGGAATAGTCACCTCCTACAATCAACCTGCAACAACGGATACGTCTCGCAAGAGTATCTTGGGACTCGAATGGTGTATTGGGTGTGACAGCGAGGATAGGATGAGGATATCTTCCGTCGTTCGTCTCTGGCAAAAGCGAGGGAGTAGAGATTTACGAGGCCCCCTCGCCGTACTTGTCGGTAGCGCCAATTCGGTCGACCGGTACAACTGGAGTAGTTCGTCGTCCGCAGTTGGGAGAAGAGTGTCGATGCCATGGGCGCGAATATATCCGTAGGTCCATATCGGCGTATTGTGGGGATCTCGCACTTACTATAAAATGGTGAAGCAGTGACCAGGACTTGTTCCGAAGTAACACGGCGGATCTGTGCTGGATCAAAGCAAAGTTACGCGTCAGCGATTGCACTGACTCGGCACGTCCGTGCTCGCAGCGTGCCCTTCTTCCCCGACCCTGATCACATCGGTAACCAGGCTGTGCACCGCCCTTGCGTACGTGAGAAAGCGCCAATGTTCGCATTGGCGCACTTGCGCCTTCCATGCCGAAATCGTTTAGCATCATGCTTTAAAAGAGGCTAAGGTTGTGCATCCGCAGTCCGTGCTCTCACTTAGTATGACAGTGCAGTGCAGTAGCGGACTAAGGAAATAAAACCATGATCAAATGTTGTGAGTGAGTTCGTGTTGTGACCGATCATGGCAAGTTAATCCGTCCTTGCTAAAGAACTACTGGCCGTTAGTGCCCAAGTTGAGATCTCTCGACCTAACTCTTAATGCTTAACTCCGCATAATTTTGACGAAGGCTCATTTCGTTGTTGCTCTTACACGTGATCCTGGTCGGGGCCCAGCTAATAGTGAGTCATGTCTGTCAAATTTTAGAGTTTAGAGTTTAGACACCGGCATAGAATGTATAGTCATAGCACCTATGTCTGCTTGTTAGCATACCGCCGCCCGGCGGCACAGACGCGCCATCAGTTAGGCGGGCTTTCATAATACAGGCTGTGCTGATCCTAACGCGGCATTAGGCTTCTTCTCGACCCTGAATCGAATCCTCGTGCTCTCACCGAAGAAGACGTACGTGGCGACGCCTCCATTGGCGCGTTTGTTGCTTTTCCGACGCGTATTTGTTCTTATGTTTTGAAATATTGTAGATGTATAAGTCTTCCGGGCCTCCGAAGTTTTTTTTTGACCAATGACGACTTTTTTTCGCGACGACAGTGAATGCGATCAATGTGGGTAACGAGATCTAGGATCAACCGGTCAGTATTTTGGTGGGTCCCGGAATGCAGGCGTCTGTGTTGGTCGGCAAGGTGCATGCTCAGTATTGTACGCGTTCCACGACTCTCTGACTCGTTCGGACATTACGGTTCTGCTTTCTATCCTGACCTCACGTCTTTGCCTGGCCACATGACCGCTCCATTCTTTGGAATGCTGTATTTTCCTCGTGTTCTCTCACAACGCTGATCATATTCTTATAGCATACCTCCCTCGGCTTTCTCAAAAAATAGTCGCCAATGCTCGACCTCCAAAAAGTTTTCTCCTCCGCAGTCGTCGTCGACAGCTGTTCCTCAACATGAGGCTTTACTGGTCGTCAGAAGGGCACGAGATGAATCAGGATTGCAGGTATAAATTCACCCAACTCACCTTTCCGGCATCCTTCTAACAATGAATAAGATAGGACCTTGTGCTAACTGCAGAAAAAAGCAACTTCAATGCCAATGTTATCCCTCTGGACATCCAAACGTCCGTCTCAACAAGTCCTGCCGCAATGAGGCTACAGCCCCTGTATCTCCTTCAAAACGCTGGCGTCTTTCACCAAGAATTCTCAAGTTCAAATAATATCGGCGGCATGGGAAATCCTTCTTCCGGTAGGATCTCCTTCTCCGTATTTGCAACCCATCGATATATGATGGACCCGACAGAAATATCC